AAGTTGTGGCACGGCATGTCTTCTGTCCTTACCCATAACGTTTAAGATGCAAAAAATCCTGCATTTAGATTTTTTCAGTGAAAGTGAGCCGTAAATGATAGGCTTTGTCGCAGAGGCTGTGTTAAGGATGAAAACAGATGTTTTATGATACTTCTTTTTGATAAATGATGAAAGACTTAAGAATCCTGGAAATGCGTCAGAAATCACAAGCACAAATCATAGAAATAATGAGGGAGCTGGTAGATTATTATAGAGTATAGAGTTTTGGTTTCTGAATAAATTTTAGTATAATTGTGTGGATAGAGAGTTAGCTTTAACGTTGTTCAGTATACCAGCCAGGCTTTGCGGTACTGTTCCACTGTAACATTGAAAATGATTTGCCAGTTCAGGCAGCATTTATTGGTGATTCCATAATTTTTCACATTAACTATTTGAATTCCAAGTAGGGAAAATGCCTGAAATAACAGGCTTCTGTAGGTTATGATTATGAGAGCCTTCATGATAGATCAATTGATAGATGTCTCTACCATATAAACTGGAATGAATCATATCCTCAGGTAAGCTCTATAGTGTGTGATTTATGGGTTGATTTATGAGAGTGTTCCTGGGCTGGAGATGTGTTACGGTTTATTTTGATGTTTTTATCTGTATATTCCCCATGTTTAAAATTCATAAAAAAATCTTAGTTAAATGATTTTACGGGCTTAAAAAGCGATGAAAATAACAGCATTTCTATGTGATGAATAATAAAATTGCTAATAAAAACTAGTTAAACTTCTGATGGCAGATTTAGCCAGATTCTTCGATTTTTCAAGGCTTGAATCCTTCTAATAGGATTTTTCTTTCATTAAAATCTATTCAATTTTCTCTTCTTGGAAATGATGGTGTTGATTTCTAATTTGAAACTGGATTTCTCTTGATTGGGTGTTCAAAATTCATATCAACTCGATTATTTTTGAAAAACGGTACTTCTTGAAGGAATATAACTACCACGAAAAAAATTAATGGGAATCGTATTTTTGATCTAAAACAAAGAGTCAATGGTCAGAAGAAGTTTTTTTTTGGATATATATGAATATTACAAGACTAGACACTTATAATACAAATAAAAATCTAATATGAAAATAGAAACTCTTTATATACTTTTTGAGTCTTTTTAATACATGCTTGAAGAATACTTAATGATAAACCATTTAAAACTTCACCGAGAGCATTTTCTAGTTTATATTGTGATTTAGAATTTTGTTTGTATTATAAATGTCTATTCTTGTAATATTTATATATATCCAAGAAAACTGCTTCTGATCATTAACTCTGTGTTTTTTGATCAAAAATACGATTTGCATTAATTTTTTCCGTGGTAATAAGATTGTGCTAGTTTTGATGGAGTAAAATCGTCATTTTTCACATGCAAGTGAAATTTCATATGTTCTATCAAATGGTAATTTGAATTAACTAAATTTCGAAGCGTTCTGCTACAATCCCAGGTGAATCAATCCGATACGGAATCCCATCGGATTCTATGGGGTCCTACCATCCGACGAAATCCCGTTGGATTCCTGGTTGAGGAATCAATGTCGGATCCGACAGTCGTATTTCCAATGATATCCAATTGTCGGAACCAATGAAATCCGAAGCACTCCGGTTCCGATTGACGGTTACTGTCGGATTTTATTATTTTCCGATATTAGGATCCGATATCGATTCCGGAACCAGGAATCCGACGATAATCCCATAGTTTCCTTGCGCCTTCCGAAGAGCTCCATCGGATTCCAATAGGAACCGATCGGAACTGATCGGATCCTAGGCTAGGATTCATTCTCCTGGGATTTTGAAAAATCCAGAGAAACCCTGGAGTAGTGGCGGAACCAGGGGGGGGCAGGGAGGGGCTCTGCTTGCCCTACACAGTGTTGAGCCCCCCTAGCGAGATCTTAGAAAATGCATTTTTTTATATAAATATGTAGTGATGTTTGCAGTTTCATGTTTTAGCCAGTGTTGCCCGCTAGGAAACTCAAAAACTCTCGCAAGAATCAAAAAAATATTTCAAAATCTCCCAAAAAATCCAGAAAATCTTCAAAAACATTTCAAAATTCTCCAAAAATCTAAAAAAAGCTTTCAAAATCCGGAAAAAAACCCATAAAAATTGTCAAAATTCCCAAAAAAAATCCAAAATGGCTTTCAAATTCTCAAACAATTCAAGAAAATTTTTTTCGGGGGCTCAGCCCCCCCCCCGTGCTCAAAATCCTGGCGCCGCCCCGGCCCGGGAGGTTCCTTTTTGTTGAATCTGTCAATATTTATTCGAAGAAATATTTCAACTCTCACACTCGTGTATCAAACAGATCTCAACAAATGTCATCGAATTGTAAAATCAGATTTTTCGTCTCCCTGATAATGATCCTAAAATCTCAACATACTGTATTTTTCTATGAAATTCTAGCACCATATTCGTTAAAGGCCTTGCTATAAGCGTTCCACTTATGATATAAACATAAATCTAGGAGATCTATTTAATGAAGTCCGCAGATTTTTCATAGCTCATAGTAGGATTTTTTAGGTTTCTTTGGCAATGTTCTATCATCGCTGAAGTCTGATTTCAAGCTGCGGAAAATATGTGGATTCCACTGGATAGAGTTCGTCGAGTTCCACTTGGAACATAGGCACGAGAATGAAACATTTCTCGAAGCGAATATCACCACATTTTACAAAAAAGAATACCAGGAGTTTTTTTGGATTTTTCACAATTTTCGAAGTATGGTTCGAGATCTCGTTAATCGAAATAAACTACTCGATAGGGTATACGAAGCTCTAGTAGTAATATGACTATGGATGTTGGAAAATCAGTTCAAGCGAGTATCGACAGGTTTTACTCGAATACGATGCTAAATTCGCCTACACGATGGTCACTTAATATTTGTCACTGCGATAGCTTGTGTAAACTATAATCTAAAAAAATGCTACTATACTTTAAGCGAACAGCTAGTCATCGTAAACGACCGTTTACGAAAGTATACGATAGAAAAACGGCAACCGTTTCCTGAATCATTTACGATCATCCGTTCCGACCATTTACTGTGATAGCCGACAGTCGTTTACAGTTAGCTTCTAGTTACGGCTGTCGTTTATGGAGATTTCTCACGATCTTCATTTACGACGACTGTATTTCATCGTAACACTTCGTTTACGACAACAGTAAACGCCTACGAAATACGGTCGCCGTTTTTCACTGTAAGTGATAGGTATACGACAGTTTACGATTCCGGATGATCGACCTGGGAGTTAGCAATTCTTAATGCTAACGGTGAACCCATAGCACCACCTCGTACTTGATGATAATATTTACCACTGTAAGAAAAATAATTATTTTGTATCGCGAATCTACATAGACGAATAATGGCTTCAATTTTTAACCCATCAATTTTTTTAATTGACAAGAAACCTTCTGTTTGTGGTATCATTGTGTACAGATCCATCATATCCATTGTGCATAGTAAAGTTTCTTGACGTATATTACGCTTTCACCATTCTTGTGACAGTTTGGTAACTTCAGTTCCAGAAGTCACAGTTGTGTTTCATGCCATTCCATCAAATAAAGGTCGGAGTAATCCGTCGAGAAATTTTGATATGTTTATAGTTGGATGTTTGAGTCCAGAAACAATTGGCCGAAGTGGAGTGCGAAGTTTATGGACTTTTGGTAGATAATATAAATGGGCTAATTTCACTTCATTTGGTTTAACGCTTCATTGTTCATATTGTCTCTGTGTAATCCAATGCTTCAATCTTAAATTTAATAAATATTTATTTGTACGTTCAATTAAATTTGGCAATGGATCATTTTGATGTAAACATTCATATGCTTCCGCTCTTTCCATATATTCATCTGATTTTTTGTGACAATCTTGCAATTTACCTAAATGAAAAAATTTAGATTTATCTGCTTTTTTGCAAAACTATACTAGCAGAACGAAGCTTTTGTTTTAATCGTTTAACCAATCTAGAATAATTTTTCTTTTTTTCAGTACTAATTGAACGTTTCGTAATTTGACACTGGTTCAAATGAATTGTTTGTAATAAATTGCCATAAGAAATTATTTCACGTTGTTGTTCATGTTGTCGAGTTGCTTTTCTAGCAAGTATATCATGTAAATTCTTTAATAAACTATCCAATTCGGCTATAAATTGTTCAACAGGTTTACCGGGGTTCACTTTTTTTTCGAAAAATCGAGTAGCAATTTTTCGTTTTAATACAGCCAACTCAATTGCGCGTCGTCTCGAAGCCGCTTTTGAATCATTATAAATAAATCGAGGACCTAATTTTAATAATTGATATTCGTCCTCGGTTAATTTTGCTTTTACTTCATTCATTATGGTTGGAGCGAGAAATCCTCGCCCAACGACCGTGTGAGTCGGTGAAATGATTTCTTCTTGTTCGTCGAGTTCGCCCTCGACTCGCTCTATCTCTAAAAAATAAAAGGATTGATCAGCTTCTAAGTTATATCGTTTTTCACGTAATTCATTATATCGTTTAAATTCAATATAACCTGCATCGTCTTCAGTATCAATCATTATTTCATTATTTTCTTCTTTTGGAAAACCTACAATAATATTTTTAATTTCATCTGCAAGTATTTCTTGTTCACGAGTAGTCGATTGCAAATACAATGACATCGCTTGAGTACAATAATCTTTAGTTAATTGGCGCATTTAATTGTATAATGTTTGAGCTTCATCGTTATTTAATATTGATTCATCGATTTTAAATGTAAAATCAATATTTGAGATAAATTTTGGAGGTAAATCATATTCAACATGTTTTGGTGCTGCTAGATAATTTTTCTTTTTTGTGCTCCATTGCTTCATCTTTGGTTTTAGAAATAAATGAGCGTTCCATTGAGTTGGAGAAGCAATTTGTTTAAAAAGTTCTAACGCTTTATATTCTTCCATTTCGGCTCTAGCTAATAGAATTTTATTTTCAGCCATTCGTTTAACATGTTGAGTACAAGTTTGAATATATTTTAATATAAACTTTTGTAATCTTTCAGCAGGCTCTCGAGTGTTGTTGCTGCTGGTGTTGTAGAAGTTATTCCATTGGTTATAGTTTGAGTCCAATAAGTAGTTAATTGAATTTGTAAGTTTGAGATATTAGCGCTTGCTTGTGTTATATTAGTCGTAAATCGATTAATCTTCTTCTTAACAAACCGGCTATTTATTATATCATCACGTATTTTAGTTCCTTTAATTACTTCTTTGGCCCAATGTTTATCATTTGTGCCCATTTTTAAATAATTTTGCCACACTTGTAAATCATAATTGTTACGAATCCAGTCATCGTAAATAGTCGTTGACGCTAATATATATGCTTGATTACCACGACTACTAAAAATGGGCGATGCACTGTCTTGCATATAACGCATTATTCGATTGGGTTCTAAATAAAATATTTTCATCTTCTTGTTATTATTTTTATTTTTATTTATTATTGGTGCAGCATCATTATTCATAACATCATCATAATTTGATTCAATATCTGTATTTGCATCGGCTTCTGTTAAATCATTAAATCGATTATAATTATAATTATTATCGCTATCAGCCGTGTTACGATACTGTTCTTGACGGTTTCGACGTTGTTGACATCTACGAGTTGATGTATTAGTAGTTGGCCGATGTTGACTACTTTGTTGTTGTTGATCTAAATCATTTGTATCAACATTGACAGTAAATGATTGAGTTGTATTATGTGATGCTGCTGTTATTGTTTGTGTTTGTGTCGCAAATTTTGGTCGCTACGGTAACGCATTTGCTGATGGATTAGGTCTTGTAGCTGTTGCCGTTGGATCAGTATTCAAATTAAAATTCGATGGAAGATTCGCCAGAACAGGTGAAGTATCACGTAATTGTGTAGGCATAAAATCATTTAATCTTAATTACCTTGGTCCGCTTCTACCCTATTCTCTTGATCCGGAGCGATTTATTCTTCGATTTAAATTAAGTCTACTTTGAAATATTGGTGGCCTATTGTTATAATTATAATAACTTTCCATAGAGTCATTATTCATACTATAACGCTTGTGACGTTGTTGAAAATTGCGATTATAAAAAATATTATTATTATTGTTTTGACGATTGGAAAAATTGTTATCCGTATTATTTTGAAGACTGTAAAAATCATTATTATAATTTCTATTAGGAATAGAGTTGCTATATTCATAGTTGTATTGTTTGTTCCTATAAACAGTACCACCTCGACGTTGATTATTCATATATCTTTGTACTGGTGGTGGTGCTGTTGTTATTGATTGTAATGGTAGTTGATTATTATAATTATTATAATTCATGCTTGACATTAATCGTTAAAATAAGTTGAGATAAAAATGATCAAATTAGAACAATATAATTCAAATAATTTGATGCCTGAAACAGTGTTAACAATATATTAAATAAAAAGCAGGTTGGCCTATCTATGTTGAAAGAATAGATAAAAGTCAATTTGTTATTCTCAACTCTTGCTTTTCGGCAATCGATTGTATTGTCAAGATTAAATGAATCTGCTAAAACAACAAGTTATTGTGCTTGATATCAAAACTCATTAAAGAAATGCAGAGTTTAATTTGCCGACGCGTTTCGTATATTTTCAAAGATAGTACTCTTCAGGGCTATGTTTCTAGAATAGAGAGTACCTGCCTAATTTGAGTTCGAATATAAATGAAAATTTCCTAAAATCCTATTGCGCACAAGCAAAAGAAAAAGTTTAAAATTTATCCTAAATATAAATTTTGTAATTCGATTGATTCATGAATTTAGAGTTGCATGTTATCAGGAAGAATGCGTAACTGTCTAGTGCGGTTTCTGTGTGGGTATGGTCATTGCAGTAGTGTCGAACTTGAACGCTGAATTCAACTGAAACTTCAACTTTTAACTTTCAACTTTCAAGTCGGTCTTTTCAGCCTTTCGCGGCACCCACAGTTGATATGTTATGTATGTGTGTTGATGTTGTTTTCAGCCTTTCGCGGCACCCACACTTGAGATGTTATGTATGTGTGTTGACGTTTTTCTCAGCCTTTCGCGGCACCTACACTTGAGATGTTATGTATGTGCGTAGACGTTGGTTTTAGCCTTTCGCAGCACCCACACCATTCACCGGCGCCAGTTTGCGTTAACTTTTGATCAAATACGGGGAAACTATGAATATGCAATGTGTCACCAAGACGTGTTTTTGGAGTAAGTTTAAGACGGATGGTGCCATGCAGTGAGGAGAACTGAAGTGACAAATATTGGTAAAAAGTGTGAATTTTTACCTGCATCCGTGAGATGCGGAGAATGGCAAAAGTACAATTGTTACAGCTTAACTTGATTTAGGGTATTGACCTTAGTGGTATGTAATTCTGTAGAAAATTTCAATTGTGTTGAATGAATACTTCTTGATATTGAGTTACCAAAGCCGCATTTGGAGAAATTGAAACTTGAAACTTGAAGTTTCCGTCGAATTCAAGTTTCAAGTTCGATATGTATGGAAAATTGTGTACACAGAGACGTTCTTTGGTCGCGGCTCTGCGGGGGACGCTGCGCGCCCCAACGCCGCGACACTTAAATAAACGTCTGCGTGACGTGACAAAAGTCGTAGACCTAAGTGTGTGTAACGTGACAGAATTCGTACCACTAGGTGTCTCCAACGTGACAGAAGTCGACGCGTGGATGATAACAACATGTAGCAGTTAGCCATTACTAAACAGTTTCCATATTCTGTTAGACGCCTGTCAGGATTGCTGTTGTTGAATATTCAAAGTTATACTAAGCGATAAGTTTTAACCTGGCTTCCTGGTAGACCAAGCATATTTTAACATTTGCAATTTCTTCAACGCCAATCAGCGCTTCCTCAGTTCAAATTATAAAATCAATATTTTGGATAAATTATAAACTTTTCCTTTTTCCTTCATTTATCTGACAGCCTCAAATTTGAATTATAAAATTTATATTTATGATAAATTTTAAACTTTTTCTTTTGCTTGTGCGCAATAGGATTTTCGGAAATTTTCATTTATATTCGAACTCGAATTAGGCAGCTACTCCATACATGACACACTAAATGACAAAAAACTCCTGTATTTAAACTATTTGGTTTTACTTTCATCCTACCTTTTCTCCTTTCCGTGCAAAACAAAAGGTATTTTATAAACTAATGTTCTTAATCCCTTACTTGAATGGAATCGCTCATAGCAATACAAAAGGTAGTTGAAAACATTTAGAAAAAATTACAATACAGATAAAACACCAACCTTAGATAAATTTAGCAATGCAAAATCGTTCTCTTCAGTGTGATTTTATACAGTTATTTTCCTTAAAACATATTCTCTTGCAACTTAAGTTCAAACTGAATGTTAGTTTGTAATACAAAACAAAAACGTTTAACACATCAACTTTTATCAACCTCATTTATTAAAAATCACATTCCAATTAGTACCTACGTCAAAACATTCGTCAGCTACAATCCCAGTTCTTTATTATTTTTTCAAATCTGTACAACAACCATGCAAAAAATAAGAAATAGGAAAATTTTCCAGCCACATCAATTGCACACAAAATCTAAACAATCACAATAATTCAACCATATTTTTCTATTCCAATCCTCTTCCGTTGATTCAAACCGAACTCTCCACAATCATATCGCCATAAAAATGAATTACCAAATGCCAAACTATCATTCACCTATCACTAACCAATGACAATAAATCAGCATCCAACTTCCAATACCTACACCACACTATCACTGCATGAAACAATCTATAAGCAATACCCTTAACACATCAATGATCGGTAAAACCGGATCACACATGTCCAACATCAACACATCACCCAATATTCGACTCAAAACACGACCCAAACATACGCCAATAACAATATCAATTCCCAAATACGCGGGAGCTAAATCCTACACATTCATTGCATCAAAATTGAATAATTAACATCAACAAATTATTCAACAATCCATTACAACCACATGCATCCTTTAAATTGCTTTCATTTCACCCCAGCAACACATATAGCCATACTAACCAAATAAGGCAGCCATTCAAAAATCAATGGAGATGATGAAACAAACACGAAATGATTTGTTTAATTTCATCAAAATGAAATCATTCTTGAATGATAGGCAAGATCATTCGATTCAAAAATTAATCGTGATGATGAAACAAAGAGGAAATGATTTGTATCACTTCATCAAAATGAAATCTTTTTTGAATGATTCGCAAGATCAATCCATTCAAAAATTAATCATGACGACGAAACAAACACGCAATGATTTGTTTCATTTCATCCACATTAAATCATTTTTGAATGATTCGCATCATCATTCCATTCAAAAATGAATGGTGATGATGAAGCGAACATGCAATGATTTGTTTCACTTCATCAAAACGAAATCATTTTTGAATGATTCGCACGATCAGTCGATTCAGAAATGGATCGTGATGATGAAACAAACACGAAATGATTTGTTTCATTTCATCAAAATGAAATCATTTTTGAATGATTTGCATAATCATTCCATTCAAAAATGAATGGTGGTGATGAAACAAACATGCAATGATTTGTTTCATTTCATCAAAGCGAAATCATTGTTGAATGATGGGCATCATCATTCTATTCAGAAATGAATCGCGATGATGAAGCGAACATGCAATGATTTGTTTCACTTCATCAAAGTGAAATCATTTTTGAATGATTCGCATAATCATTCCATTCAAAAATGAATGGTGGTGGTGAAACAAACATGCAATAATTTGTTTTACGGCATCAAAATGAAATCGTTTTTGAATTCTTGTTACGGTCAATGGTTTATTCATGTATTTAGTTGAACCAGTTTGTGTGGAGTTTGCTGTAGTAGTGTATCGGGATGTTGTCATAGTTGAATAAGATTGATAGTCGTCGTCAGGTTGGTCTGTGTTTTTTTGTTTTTGAATGTCGGTTTTGTGGTTCACTAAAATTTGAAAGAGACATGTTTTTGGTGTGTGTCATATGTGAAATCTCTGTCGTTTAATGTTGTATTGATAGATTGAACTTAACTGTGAATAATAATTGTTATTAGCGACTAGAAAATTCTTTGGTCTATTATGGGCGGATGAGACTTATTTCTTCGGCATTCTGTCGAAAAGTTTTCGGTAACATATGGCTATGTTATTGTCGCTGGCAACCATGGTAGTCGAAATTTCATGGAGGAAAGAAAAGAAAATTACGTGTGACATCAGCGGCAGTGTGAAGAATTTTGGGTTCTGCTCTTTATTTTTGTTTGTTAGAGCTGCGACGTATGACTTGTTATCTAAGTGTTAGTTGTTTTTTCCTGAATGAAGAGCGCTGTGTTGTGAAGAGAAAAATGTTTTGTGTTGTGCAGATAAAGGATATTTGTGATTTGGTGTCAATTTTTTTCTGTTTTCGAAAAAATGGGACCATTTTTAAGAATGGATTTGAGAAATGTGACGGAGCCGGTTGTAATACTCCATTGTGTTTGAAATTGGTTTTTGTCAGTATTTCGTTTGAATGAGAATGAAATCGGTGTTTGGAGCGGTTGTATTGAATTTTTTTGCCGATATGTGACGAATGAAGGTGACTAATATATTTTTTTGTGATTAAATGATATAGGATTTACTTGAGAAATGTTTTGATTAGTTTCTCATGTTGATGAGACTTTTATGAGAAGTGAGCTAATGTTTTTGTGGAGTGTTGAGATATGATTGGACTGAAGGGCATGTTTTGAATGTTGTTAGAAATTGAATAAGTTTTAGGAAAGGATGGAAAGGAAATCTTTATAAATGGCACATGTCTGGTTTTGTATTTAACATCGTTGTTATCGCTCGATATATTTTCAATAACAGTGTTTGGATGGTCGGAAACATGAACGATTATATTGAAGATTGCTTACGCGCAATTAGTCTATTTCATCGTACTGAAGCATTATGATGTTTGTGGATATCTATACTAGAGGCCGTCGGGTCTAACAATTTTTCAATTCGGACCTGGAAAAATAAATACGTCTGGTTTCATCATTTTTT